CCTTTTACGCCGAAAATTTCATTTTGTCTCGTATGTGCTTAAACTAAAAATCTAATTTCATTATTTCATCTACTTTCATATTTTGCAGCTCACCAAATTTCATTGTCTATTGGGGCAGCCATGCCCCTGGTTGAGAAGTATTGTGGGAAGATTTCCAAGCATTGCTGAGACCCCAAAATGCCACAAACGGAGCTTATAAGTTTGAATGAGTGCTCTCAGTCTAATTGTCTGATTGCTTTAGTCCATCAGGGACGCGTCATAACTTTCGAAATTTCAATTTCATTGTGGGGTTACTGAACTCACAATTCCGGTGCTACAAAATCTCCCATGCCCTCGCCCACCAGAAATAAGGCATGATTAATTTCAACAAAACTTTGGGATTTTCGAAATTTGCGAATTTCGCTTCACCTTTCGGTGATGTTTTGCCCAAACCAATAGGATCAAGTGAGCAAAATTTCAAGGCCACGGAATACCACCGATTCGCATGTGATTGCCAGTTTACGAGATAAAGCACAAGTTCGCATTCTGCTTGGTCGGTTGTACAAAAGTCGGGAGGTGCACGCATTTTAATCGTTATGGCACACAAGCACAGCGCATGAATTAAGGAGTGATGAAGGGTTGATATGAGGACATTTACAGCGCAAGAACGATAGGATATTCATTGCGCTGGATAACTAAAAGTCATGTTCAAGTGTTGGGTAGATGAGCGAAGTCTGTTTATCTAACTTGCTGGCTTGCTGAAACTGGAAGATGGTGGATCGTTCAGTGGGAGCACGAGAAAAGACATATTCGTGAATGGAAGGAAGCCAGTTAGCACCGGTGCAGAAATTTCTGTAGAATGTCTGCACCCGGGTGCGGACATTTCCGCACAAGTTCCGCAGATTTCTGCACCCGGATGCAAAACCAGTGCAGAAATAAAACAATATTCCGCACAATGTCCGCACCCGGGTGCGGAAATTTCCGCAAATATCCGCACACTTCTGCACCCGGGTGCGGAAAACTCGTACCCAGTACCGGGATTTCCGCACCCAGTTCGCACCTAGCTAAAGTCGTCCGAAGCGCAAATATAGCCCATTATACGGACTTATCTCTTTCCCTAGTACGATTCAGTAACATCCTAAACACTAAGTGATAACCCACCTGCCCCCACATAATTGCTCGGCGTATTACCTTTCCGGATATCAATAAGCGCCCTCAAGTACAAATGTTTTAATGAGTGAATTATAAAAAATACAGGGGGAAGATCATTTGTCACTCTTGGTGGCTCTCTGCAGGCGTTTCCGAACTTTCTGCCGTTCGTTCTCCAGCCAGCGATGAACGATTTCCTTTACTTGTCGCGGATTTGTGTTCGGAAATTTCTCAGTTGTCGCGTCTGTAATGAAGAACGTAGTTACTGAGTCTCATCCAGACACTGATTCAACTAACTAAATATAAAATAACAATTGACTACTTACAAATAAGTCCTTGGGCCAGCCTGGTTGACCCGAAGGCTTCTTTGTCATTTATTCCGCGCCAGTTGAGTCGTACGGCCAGCCTTGGAGCCAACGTCCGCGTAAGCACGTTGGTCAGGTACACTTGTACATCGCCAGCCTCCTGCAAGAGCCACCTTTCCACCTTTGTGAAATCAACAATCGTGACTACAACTAATACTTACCAGCTGTGCATAGCGTGGACCATCTCTTAGATGTTCCTCATACTTTTGGAGATCATCCATGGATGAAAGCGGAAGAGGGGGCTCGTTGAGTGCCTCAGAACTGCTAGTGGGTACTAGAGCGTCTAGCTTCATGTGCAGTCTTTGGAGCGACGAGTAAATCCTCTCTAAATTCTCTGTAACACAGTTTATTTAGACATGGTGATCTACTCACTGAGAATGAGGTTGGCCAGATCCGGGGAAATTACGCTGGCCTTGGAATTTGGAGAGTTAGTTCTAGAAAGTAAAGTACGTGAAATGTTGAGAAAACCTGGGGATAGGGGCAGAACTGCGTGGTGCTGGATCGCTCACGGCGGGAAGTGTTGTATACGTGGAACTGCTGATAGATTATTTGATGGTGGTAATGAAATAAAACGTACGTTCCGCATATCATCGGGGCATCACGAGGGACGGGTGGCGCGTCTCGAACAGGAGTGAGACTACTAAACGTGGCAGTCGGATTGGTGCATCTGAAAATGAGGAGTTTACAAATTGAAAAGTTGGTAGGTGCGGGAGGACCTACAGTCTTTTTGGAGTTGGTGGGCTTATGACTATGTTCGCAAACAAAGTGGTGTCACCACTGGAATCACGATCCGACCCGTCTGTAAAATCAGACGGCAGCCGTTTCTTTGCACTGCAACCATTGTAATACGATTCATAAATATACTGTTTTTGCCTGGATTGACGTACCAGCCGTTCATCGTGTACCAATGTGCACACCCTTTTGTGTACAATAATCACAGCCATAATATCCTGTATGTCCCTTCACTTGCTTCAGAAAGGCCCTAGCAGGACTATCACAAATAATGCACTGAAGACGGACGGTATGAGTATTGCAAATCCCGGAGACACCGTTCGCCAAGACGTCTGTCAACTCAGCGACCGTGTCAGACATCAGCGGATGAGCATCATTGGATTTTTGCTTACCACAGTATATTCCCACGACGAAATGCTGACCGAGAAAGGGTGAAATTATCCGGGAGAGTATAGGCCACACTTGAGTACGCGAGTTGTTATAGGCCCGAATACCGTCAACGTCAATTTAAATTTCGATATTTGTAACCGTAGTCTGGATCTCACGGAGCTGTTGCAGCAAACCTGCTTTCAATCCAAGGTAGATGTGCATTCCACCTGCCTTCTGTCGCATGCAGCAACGACGGGAGGTTTTCATTACGGTCCGTGGATCCTTCGGAAGAGACGGGAAAAGGTATCTGAGTTCGTCCAACACAACGGCTAAACCGGATAAAGGTAGGTTCAGCCTTCGCGCCATCCGACGAACAGCCGTTAAAATATTTCTATCTGGTTGTGAATGGTTTAAAAAGGATACTGATGAAAAGCAATATAAGTGCAAGCAGAACATACGGACTGATCCCTTCAACGACTTGCAGTGGGCTTCCTTATGGCAAAAAGCAGGAACCTAAAGGTTCTCCAGGGACCGCGGTGGTGAATGTCTTTCTGGCTACAAAGTCCTGATAACAGGGATCGGGGAAACCGCCGGCGAACAGCGTGGTAAATCGCAGCCTAGTTTATCACCTGGATCGGTCAAATTTGGCATACCTACAGCCTATCATCTGATTAATCATGAATCATACCCTCAGATAGTCGACTAAAGGCATTATAAACGCATTCATCAGTCGGGCAAAGAAAACAGCCACTTGCCGCAACCGCCTGTCGTACTTTCCTATATAGCGTTGTTCTTGGAGAGCCTTTACGAGCAACACGAACAAATTTCGGGCACATTGACGGTTACTTGAAATGAAAAATATTTTTTACGGTATCGTTCGCGTAAACACGCCAGGAATAAAAAGTATGAAAGCACAACTAAACTCACTCTCAGCCGTACGTGAGGACAAGCAGAACGCAGAGCTTCCCGCGAGCAATGGTGCCGCACAGTAAAACAAAACCACTTAAATAGGTTGACCGTTTGCATTTCCTAGGCACACGGAAATGCAGGGTAGTGTGGTTTTTTATTACTGTGAGACAAATAAAGAAGCTTTGATGTCTATTAAACGTCTCAAGCTCGCGAGGCTTAAAAGCCGAAAATTAGTGCAGAAGTTCTGCATTAATTCCGCACAGGTTCTGCACCCAGCAGCGGACGCGTGCTAACTGGGACCCTACCAGCACACGCAGTCCAAAATGACCGAGTTTTTCGGTTATACGACGGTTATATAACCGCCAAATGACCACCTTTTATGGTTTACATATGGCTATTTGCACCAAGATAACCGTCAAATAACCGAGTTTTCCGGTTATTGCTCGGTTAAATAACCGTCAAATAACCGTGCTTGCCGGTTGTTTCTCGATTCTATAACCGACAAATAACTGTCTGCCGGTTATTGCTTGGTTAAATAACCGTCAAGAAACCAGGTTTTTCTGTTGTTAAACAGTTAAATAACCGGGTTTACTGGTAACTGGACGACTAAATGACCCTCGTTAGTGAAATCACTACCATACTACCGTTAGTCGCTGTTACTGGACCCATCCTACGTCGTCATAACGGCTTAACATAGTATACGTAGCCACGCATTAACCGCATTGTAGGGCCACGGAAAACCTAAATAACGGTGCCGTAGCGTATTCCTTCCTAGAGGGACTATCTGATGGCTTATTGACCGCTTATTAATCGAGTTCAACGGTTAAATAATCGCGCAAAACGGTTTGCGGTTAACAAACGCAACGTGACTGACTTACACTGGTAACCACACGCGTGCATATAGTCGTATCCATTGCAGAAAATAAGTCTAGTAACGGGATCTCAGAGAAGGCAAAACAAGGATAAAAATATATTTGATATAAGAGAACAACGGTTTCACAACCAAACCGAGTCAGTTCGGAGGCACGTCCAATTCGATGATCTCAACTTCTTGGTTCAATATGGACGTCTGAAACAGTGACAAAACATATGTATGAGCATTCGATGTATCGGTTACTACAGATAAACTTGTCCCAGTGCAAAGTCGAAACTCACTGTCAACTGATCCATGTGAGTTCTCTGGTCCAGTCGGTGACGTGCGTTACCGAACCACTTTTGGATTTCCTTATCTAAATGCTGCCGGAAACAGTCTTTGGAAACTGGGTTACCAAGAACTGTTTCTGAAATGACAGTGAGCAAGTTATCTTTGATCGCCTACCTTCGATTAGGGTGCAGAGTCTTGTGTGGCGAAAGGGAAGTTTGTCAACAGACCCGGCGTAGGTGACACTGACGGCGAACTCGTCAGCCAACGCTTGTCGGAGACACAGGCGCACTAGGTCCGACATGGTGGCGGAAGTTTTTCACCTGAGGCCAAAAAATGAAATCAACAACACTGAATTACCAGTTCAATCTGGCGTGGTACCTCTGCAGCTTACTTTCCAGTTGGTCCCACGAACGTTTGCTCCGGAGGGGAAAAGTAAAGCCGGTAGTTCCAGAAGAACTATAGACTTGTAACAAGGAGTTGTCAATGCGGATTTTCAGGTATCGATGATCTTCCGCCATTGCGTCTATTTTTCGGTGCAGCTGTTCGTTCTGCTGGAGCAGTGCTGCGGTTCCTGGGGTTTGGAAGAAAGGGGCAGATAGTGGGGATAAAACAGGAAACATAGGGATCTCCGGAGCGGTGTTTAAAGTGTAATGTAACAGACGGTGCACCGTCTGCGGCATCATATATACGGGCTGGTTGGATGTGGACGGGACGGGTGCGGGATGCTGGGGTATGCGCTCTGGAGTTGAGGGGAACAAGGCATGGGGTGTCGCCTGCAAGAAGCTGGGGTAAGGCGGGGATTGTGGCACCATCAACCTTGGTTTTTTCGGTGATGGACTGATGGGGAGGGAGGGGCTTCGTTCTCTGGTATTCCTAAAAGAAGTCTTGACAACACACACGGTAGTCTTACTTTCGACTAGGCTGGTTACATCCGAAGTCTCCAGGTCCGATGTGTACTGGAACTTCCTCTCATGTTCGCGAGCCTTTTTGAAATCATCTGAAAAGTTAATGCGGTCTACATGACACCTACCGTAAGTCCGAATGACTCCGCAATTCAGCTTCATTGATCCAGCTGGCGGCTGCATATAAAGGCGAACGGCCTTATAAAAGTGCTTCGAGTGAACTTTTGGCCATGTAGCACAGTTACCCTCAATCCATAAAGAACTGAGAACTGCACACAACCATAGGCATTGTTCATGGAACTTATAAAGACTGTAAGCCTGATACGGCATATCAAATTATAAAAACATCACGGTATAGAGTGCAATAATGGGAAAACTACAAATAAATCATTGAATGGAAGCATGGCGCATTTGCATTGCACAAAAGAGAGGGGACAGCTACTTACAGCTGTGGACAATTTGTTCACCACAAAAACATTTAGCAAAAGAGAATTAATGGGGTGGATGAAAAGTGGTAAAACGGGAGAAAGAAACGAAACATACTTAATTATGCAGTCGGCCGTGTCGGGATGTTCCACCCCTGTCACAATGCACGGATAACCATCTACCAAAACGTTATTCGATGGACTGGCAGATAAGGCAACTTTACCGAGATTAAAGAAACGCTTTTTGTTCAGTGATGCTTGTTTCAAAGAAAAGCACGCATCTCAATCGGCATGGTTACCTGGGGCGTTTGTGAGATACGATCCTGACTCCTGCAGGCGTTTATAAATCTGCCTAACAGGATATGTGGGACTTTGTACAAGGCGCTTAAGTGTGTGGATGAGTTCGAACTCACCCAATTTCGGTCTTTAGTTTGTTTTAGCATCCGTTGAGACAATTCAAATCACTTAAATTATTACATAGTTAAGCAGTTCTTCGTTCATGAGAGAAACCATTTGACAAATATTATACCACAGAGATATATATCGGTGAAAAACACAGCCATCCTAAAAACTTGTTCATTGTTCAATTCTGTGATAAGTCACTCAAGTGTGAAAAACTACTGTCATTCCGGTAATAATTTGTGAGATGTAACCGCAAATGTTTTTCTCACTACGAAACCACTGAGTGTTTAATTTTAAGGATCATTTCAGTGCTTGCATTGCTTCTAATAGACAGCTACCAATGACTATTATATTACCGCACACCTCTGTCAGTAATTCCCTGCCTACATTTCTGCCAAACCTCAAGTAACGTCTTAACATTTGAATCCATTCTATATGGCTCGGCCTTTTGTGGAAAATAGATGTCAGGACAACAAGCAGTGGGATAATCACGCTACAATTAAGACATGGTTACAATATCAACAATATAGTCTTTCAGATCAGGGTTGATCTAAACAAAGTTAATCATGGTGTTAACACAAGAAACCATAATACGTTTTGAAATATGATCACCTAAACTTTACGAAACTCGGTGAGGATCATCACCATTATATAAATTCTGTTAAATATCACGTTGAATGACGATATAATTACGTCATCTTGGGCTGCATCTAAGGCAGCCGGACAGTTTCAATGGCGTCCATTTCTGATTTAATTTTTGGAAAACAAGCAAGATAGCGATTGAGTACGGAAACCATTGGTAGTGGGCCTAATAGCACACGAAGCAATCTACGTGTTTTCTTCGTCAAAGCAGAATTTATGTTCTCCTTCAGAAATACCGTAGTCCTATATTTTAAAGAATCTAATACCACTTCGACTTAAAATACAATTTTTTGGAGCACCAGCTACGTATCCTGGTGAGTGAAATTGCCACTGATTAGTCACAGCACCCACCTATGTACCATGAGATTTAAGGCTGGGACATAAACTTTTCCTGATGTTCATTAGTGATCCTCCTCTATAGATCCAGTTATCTATCCTGCCATTCGCAACAGATGATAATATACAGCGCCCGAATTCTTGGAACTTTTACTGTCCAGCACTGAAATGGCGCACAATTAGGTTAGCAAAACTGTTCTGTTATTCAGTAAACACGATACAAACTGAACTCGAATACTCTTGTGCACTTGGTGACAGCTTTTTGCATGAATTACCGATGGAAAAATATCTGAATCTATAAATTCAAAGTTTAGAAAATGCTTAGCTAAATGGTTTCGCGATTTTTGCATTACGAACCAAGTGACAGCACTGCTACATCACGCCTTGGAATTCTCCCAACTGTCAACTTACGTTCGACCACAATTATATACGTCGTGTAAGCTAGAAATCTGTGATGCCGTTAGAGAAATTGAATTTCAAAAAATCCAAAGCGCAAATCCAGGAAGGTGATTTACGGTCCGCCTATCTAAATTATAAACTAATTGGTGGGATTATCTGAGCCCGAGAAAAATCAGAGCATAAACATTCAACAGGGGGAAAGTTATGTTCCATCAAATGTGCATCCAGGAAGGTGACTTATGGTCCGTCTGTCTAAATGATAAACTAATTGGTGGGATTATCTGAGCCCGAGAAAAATCAGAGCATAAACATTCAACAGGGGGAAAGTTATGTTCCATCAAATGTGCTTTGTTGTCATGGTTTTCTGAAACATAAACCAAACTGGCCTTTCCATGCCATGAAAAATAAAACCATGTTAACTTTGTACGCCAGTTGAACAGTATGAATCTTTTTTTGCTGTCTAAACCCTATGGTATACGACTTTACCAAACTCATCATACTGAATCTCAACAACTGCTATTCTACACTTGAATCCTGTCCAAATTACGATCGTTTCCCAAGGCAGTTAATCTATGCCTTACACCCCAACAAAATTCCAAGGAAAATATCGTCTGCAGTCATCGATAAGTCACCTCTGCTTACGCAGTTATCGGATGAACGGAAAACTCTGACATCTTATTGTGTACCTTGATCCAACGCCAAAAGTATCCTTGCGTTCACTTTTTGTTCAGGAAAACGCTGTTGTGCACGCTTGCATAATAAAGAGCCTGATGAACAGCGGCTGCTAAATCTGGACAAGATACTCTCAAACCTGGTTTCTATGAGGCTGAAACAAGTCTGTATTACCCTGACAGTCTAAAACAGCAGTCGAAACGCACAAATAGAAACTTGAATGCAAAATCTCCGGAGCGTCTACAGTTCATCAAGCCTTCTTTTCCCAAGAAAGATAGCCAAGTTACCCGTCCACGGCTGCACAAGATTTTGCATTCACGGAGGCCCAACCAAAAAGCCTGGAAGAAATGGCCACACCTTCTATTTTCTCTCAACTTTCGGTCCACTGGTCAATGAAATTCCGCGGTTTTGCAACTGCTGCCGTCCAGATGAATACGTTGGTTTTAATGACGAGTTTAAGCAGCCTTAAGGCATGCATTTATGTACACCGTATGCACATTTATCCTGCCTCTCCGTTATCCTAACCAAAGTTTTGTTTTACCGACTTCCTCTATTAAACTTTAGCTTGTTGCCCAGTCGGTCTTACCAATTTCCTGTGGAAGGCAAAGTGGACAGATTCAAGCAACCTGCAAACGGACTATTGGACCAGACTTGATAAAACTGAAATCCCTGTACTGTGAGACAGCCAGCCACACCCGTGTGGACATCCAGAGCACCTTGCGATTTCTCGAAAAGCTTTATCAGAATCTCACAAAGTCAGCTTATTCAGAGTTAGTATATTCCACAAAAGAAAGCCAAGATTTCTAATACGTATTCTTTTCTCTCTCTTTTGGTCTGAATTTCCCTGAAGTGCTTTCCAATCCTAATCCCTCTGTTTATCAGTTAATCAACCACGGCTTTCATTTTGCGCTAGTTTACGCAACGACTTCAGTGACTGACAAAGATATTGTTTACTGGGCAGTCATTTCATCCGTATTCGAATTTTCCTACGATATTTTATTGGCAGCAGCCATGATTAGACGTACGTTCATCTATCTAGTTTATTCTGGCATACCTTGGTCCACCTCTTACCCAGTCACAGGTATAAGTTTAAGTATAACCTATTTCTTGTTAATAGTAACTTGATTTTACCCACTGCTACGAATAGTGAGAGATCACGTAACTTACGGGAGCATATTTTTTAATGGAATATGGTGATTTCGTCATTTTTCGCACGTTGATGCACGATAGTGAGGAAATACAAGTAATACTAAGGCCTGCATTGTGCACAATGATTTGTATAAACGAGCTTGTATTGCACTGCCTCCTGATTCTGCGGGGTGATGTCCCTATAGGTGATTAGGACGCCTGGTTCAACTTCTCAGCAAACACGCCACTGTTGTTCGGCAGCGGTTAAGCGTCATGTTACGCTTGCCACCGGTAGCGCCTGTCGGCCAAAGGTGGCAAAAACGTTAATTAGATACCACTTTCGGTTATATTTCAGATGCGGTGAGGTTGGGTGGTGAGACCGAGTACTGTAGGACGCAGTAGATTATCGGTATATGTGCCTCAGCTAACTAACGATTGCAACATTTAGCCTAGTTTGACCTCTACGAGTGCTGAAACTTTTTTGAAAAAAGCCAACAAAGTTGCACCAAATTGTTTTTTTGAATCGCCACTTTTGGCAGACCGGTATAAGCAGTGACTGTGCCACCCCTACTTGCCACCCTTGGCCGGTGGTGGCCACCGGTGGCGTGTTTACTGAGACAGTGCTTATTCACACCACACAACCTCACGGCATCCAAAATATAACCAAGTGTCGTATCAAACTGGAAACCGCATGGTGCTTACTGCATGCGGCATGGTTAAATGATAACGAGATTAGTGCAAAAACCTAGATCTAATAAGCGAATCACATCGCTGGGTTTTCAAATCCAACTGTCAATTAACAATGTCAATCCGTTTGGAGGCGGCCTTAGTATATGGAAGTTTTCGCTTTCCATGGATTTGAGCAAAGCACCACTGAACGGTTTTCTGTATAAGGTCCGTTGTAATAGTGTAATGTGCGGCTACATAGTACGTGGCAGCTGAAATGGTATCAGTGTAAAGCAGTTATATCACCCAGTATACGCCTTGGTAATTCTATGCAACGGATAGGTGTCTTTTCGATGCTCTGTAATCAAGCCAGCTGATTTGCGAAATAAGGGACGAAAACAGCACTTAGCATGTTCCTGATTGACAGATTGGGGTTAGAGTGGCTCAGTTCTGAAAAAGAAATGCCCTTTATTTATAAGGTGTTAACCGGCATGAAACTACTCACATTCATTTGTTGACAGACAGTGCAGCGTGTCTACAGAGATTGGTACCCATAGTTCAGCAACACGTTACTGTATTTGAATAGTGGGGTTATGTGGCATACTCAAAAATGATTCAAGGGGAAATGCAGAAAACTGATTCAAGAACCTATGCACTAGATTTGTTTGCCAACAAGATTTTTATGTACTGGCTTATCCAAGACGGGGCCCACTCTCATGAAACACTTGCGAAAGATAACAGAGTGACCGTAGTTTTTGTTTAGTTATGGGCTGTTATGGCAACATGGATTCATTGACTAGGGACGCTCCATCATGTAAGGACAAGTTTTCCGCTAGCGCGAAAAACAGCGAATCAATGTATATGCTTTGCCAACGACAAACTGGTTCTCATTTATTCAGGATGTCACAACATACCACGCTCAAAATATTGTAGGCAAGTTTTTCCGCAATTCCCAAACTAACCTTGTTTTCATTACACGCACCGCTAACGCGCTAGCGTTCCAGATAATCGATGCCATTGTCAGGGCATTTTTGAGTGAGTTTGGGAACTTTTCCATTTTTAATGGCCTTTTTGGCGTATCGAAGACAAAACAGCAAATTCGGTCTAGAGATCACAATTGTCTGGTAAAATCAAAGAGTGAATAAAGACGAATTGATCTTTATACCTCTTTTGGTGATAGTAAGTGTTCGCAAGTTAG